CACATTATTGCATGTATAACACCTCTTATTACGAAGAGCACTCTCAGGCCTCACAGGTGTAGTCAGAGTTATGCTTTGCATGGCTGAAAACTTTATAAAAAAACGGTTCTGTGGTCGGCTGAGCTCGGGACAAGACTGGAAACAGATTGTGAAGTTTTGATCCATTTATTATCCCCCGCGTGTCCTCGAGGGTCGTACACAAGCATGTAATTTGGATTCTTTTTATTTGTAATCACTCATTGCAGTAATTTGACGTTACCCAGCGTCTCAATGATTCAAGAGTGTTTAGAAGAGTGACGAATCGACAAAACGGAACCAGAATATTCAAAATGATTGCCATATGTGTGTGTGTGTGTGTGTGTGTGTGTGCCTCTCTTCTTTCCATTTCAAACGATGATGTTCTGGGTCGGACACTGTGTTGTGCAAGAGGCAAAGTTCACATCTCATCACGATGATCAGTGATGATTGGCAGAGTCAAAGCTCAATAGGAACTGTTGATCATCTGAGTCTGGCTGTATTTCTGCTTTACTGAATGCTTATGAAGTTTGATCAAGAAGAATACTGTGTAGCATTGAATAGATTGAATGTCAATTAAAGGTGCAATTCCCTACAAATTTGGGAAAAGGTTATATTTAAAGTACTGTTACTCATCGTGTCCCTCTCAGACGCTCATTAATGCGGTCGCTGTGGGCCCGGACCAGGGATGTGTCACTCTCCTGAGCCCAGACCCTTGCCCCGTGTTTGACCGTGAGATCTTCTCCTCATCCTCCTCATCCTCATCATCCTCATCCTCTTCCACCTTTTGGCCTCTCACACTCCTTAACCCCTAGGTACCTGTAAATACAGCAGAAGGAACTAAACATTGTACATTGACGTCTTTGCTCACACGGAGAAACAGTTTGATGTCGTGCATAACTTATACACTCACATTCATATGAGTCTGACTGTATCCTACAGATCGACTGTCATTCATTCTGTCCTGGTGATCTTTTTAGAGTAACAGTTCAGTAAGATGTAGTCTGCACTCAGTCTGTTTAAAGACTAAAATTAAGTCATTGCATCATAATACAAGCGGTGACACGAGCACATTCACAGAGCATATAAACGTACAATGTGCAGTGACTTTGATGACCCAGCACCATCTCTATATACACTTTAGTACACCCACCATTTAGCAGCCTTACACAAAAACCACAATATCATGCAGTCATGCACCATCATCCTCTCATTTCACTGTAACTACACAGGCCTAGAAGAAGGTTTTAATCGACGCGCTCTTTGTTTCTCTGCCACACAAGAAGTCTCTAAAGAAGCTTTTCAATTCCCAGAATCTATTTAAAAAATGGGCATTTCATCACAGCCGCACGTGATTCAGTTATAATCGAGTGTTTGTTTATTTTACATGTTGCAGCATAAGCATTTCCATGAATCTCTCAAAATAATATTCTGTTATTGGTGTTCCACGCTGTTCACAATCTCCATATTGTGTACCTGAGCATTCACTAGCCCACACAAAAACCACACGCCACCCAGCTAGACAAACACACACTTTTACTTGTGTTAGTGTTGCATCATTTGTATGACTTAGCAGGAAGGCCTTTGTCAACACAGTGAAAGATGTCAGACGACGGACTCGTTGGTTACAGAACATACATGACAGTTGAACAGTTGCATAATCGTCAAGGATGTTTTCACTGCAAGTCCGTCACTCCTACTGAAGCGAAGCAGCTGGAACACTTTAAAGCTGCAATGATCCTGTACTTAAAGTGCAAAGCCAGTAAAGAGGAATTCATGTCGGGAATAATATCGGCACATTGTAAAAAAGAAAATGTTTTGCAGAGAAGAAGAAGAAGTAGGAACACGGAAAGTGAAAACCATAACACCAGAGCAGAGGTTTTTAACACGAGATTGAACCCTCGCCTACACAAGGAGCTCGCCTCTCCCCGTGTGCGTGATGGGCCTGTGGCTGAGGACTAAAGCTCGGCAAGAAGCCATTAGTTGCAACATGAGATATGAGAGCTGGGCTGGAGTTCTGGCTTCCCCCCAAGTCACAGAATGTACTTGAACAAATTCCAGCAACAAGAATTAATACAGGCCAGTGTGGATTTAGCTATCCGTGTCTCAGATTGCATGTGTCTACATGAACAAGCAATCTTCCCACCGCTGGTTTCAACAGCTCGACTTCTTTATTTATAAGATTCGCTTTTCTCTGCTGTCGTCAAAATGAGCACAAACTCCTTAAAGAAGAGGAAAGCTGGATGTTTTGGGAGATTTTACCACAGCTACAGTGCATACCGTCAACATTGTTGATCCCAATACAATAATAAATACAATATCTTAACTATTAGGTTGATTGCCATGCAATTTGTTGAAGACATTCATGGTACCCAGAGGATTCATCTCAATTCTTTTGTCGATACCTTATTTTCCCTTATAGTGCCAATATAAGGGAAAATAATAACCTACAACATAGATATGGACACATTTTTATCATGGTCCCCAGACGAGTATTTCTAAAGACCCGGGTTCCCCCTACATTTTCTCTCAAGCCAACTTGATGCTAGCTTAGTGAAATATCTCGAAAATCATGAAAATTTGGTGCAATTGTGGTGTTCCTCTAGCTTTTTCTGGGTTTAGAGTTAAAGCTCAACAATTGTGGAAATTGGTATGAATTTGACACAGACATTCATGGTGTCCAGAGGATGAATCTCAGTTACTTTGGTGATTTCTTGTTTACTTTATAGTGCTACCAGCATGTCACAATAGTAACTCAATACAGTAAAGATTTCAAGAGACTCTGGTGCTCCGATAACGTTTTCTCTGACGCCACCTTGTATGTTGATGTTTGTACCTCGATAGTGAAGGAAAACTTATACAGACGTTCATGGTTTTCAGAGGATCATCCCTCGTGACTTTGGAAGTCCCCTAGCTTTTTCTCTTGCACCACCTTGAACTGAATATTTTGGATTTAGAGTTAAATAGATTGACAATCATGGAAATTCTTGGAAATTTGGTACAGACATTCATGGTACCCAGAGGATGAATCCTACGGACTTTGGTGACCCCGTGACTTTTCATTAGGTGCCACCAGCAGGTTACAGTTTTCACTTATACGCTATATTATTTCAACAATTGTCTGTAAAAGATTTCATATCGTCATATTTGGCATTTCTCGTTCCCCACGAGGTGAATTATATTAATTTTGGGGATCTCTTAACTTCTCTAGCGCCACCATCAGGTCAAAATTGTAATTTGTCCATCAAACAAATACCCGCAAAGCTAATGATATTCATCAGCCTCAGCTGTACTCTATGTTCAGCGCTCATTAGCAAATATTAGCATGTTAGGTTAAAATGAACCTCAACATTAAACCTTCCGAACATCAGATATACCTTTTGTTTTGCTTCTCTCTACAATGTGTGTGCGCGTGTGTTTACACACACACATGCACACACCCTATTGATTACAATGCACACAGTTGGTCACGTCATTAGTATTGATCAGTCTTTGTAAAATGGATTACAAACCAGCAGCCCTCACTCGCTGGAAGCAGACGGACAAAGAAGATACATTTTATTGTCCTCTCGATCCATTGTCTCTGCATGTCGCACCATTTGTTTTATTTAGTATGTGAAATTAAATGCTGAGGGGGATGGGGGACAAGCTTCCACAGCAGACTCACACTAATGAAAGGTGACAACGGGATGGTTTTGTGCTGGGAGGATTTTGTTTAACTTCCTCCTATAACATAATAAAATATAACAAGGCATATGGGAAAGTGTCATCTGTATTTTAATGATAGTAAATGACTCATCACAATGTTCTTTCTTTGCCCCGTAAGAGCTTCTCGCTGCTGCAACACCCTCTCCTCCTGACGGTTAACTCCATTCCCAAACCCTAAGAGGATTTTCTCCCCCCTTTCAGTCCTCTATTCAATGTGTGTGCTCAGTAATCGCTCTGTGTGGACACTGATCCATCTGTGTCATTAACACTGTAATCCCGTTTGAAATGACAGTTATTGAACATCAAGAGGGACTTATGTATCTGCTCAAACCAAACGTATTGGAGCCATTTTAGATTGAACAGAAATCACCTGTTATGCGTCATAAATATATTCTTACAGGAATATAAATTCTACCCCATTGATATCATGTCAGGATATTTGGAATTTTATTTTGAATACAGATTAATGTCCTATGTATTACTGTTTGGAGGTGACAACTAGTAATCACTATAAAACTATAGAATCTATGTTTATCTTTATCAGACCAATTCTGATCTTGGGAGGATTCGCCGGACACCACATCACATGTATCCTCTGTACTTCTACTGAATGTTGCATTACAGAGCAACAACCTCCGCAGCACACGGATGGAAGGATACTGCCCCCTGCTGGTGTTACACGATACCTCCATGGTTTGGTATAAATAACTGAATAGGTGTGTGTGTGTATTGGAATATATAAGCATATCTTCAAGATGAATCATGTGCTGTTTGCAGATGATTCATCTATTGGACCTCTGGATCTTCTAGGAGTCTCAGACCTTCTATGTAAGGTTCATGGTGGAACTGAAGCTTGGAGACAATGGAATTGTTTTCAAGTCTTTGGGGACACTGTATTTTAAGTTCATCATTTCTTAATTTCCTGGGAAGTTTCCTAAAATTATTATCTATTATAGTAATTATTATAGGCAAAATAGGAATCGATATGACCCGAGTGACCCATAAACACAAGTAAATACATTAATATAAATAAACAAATACGTTTCATTTATTCACTCCATTTATTATTAGCTGGATTGGATGAAGTGGACCAATTGTACCACCGTCTAAATAGTTTAGTTAGTCAAGTTCTAATTTTGCATATAATTAGTGCAAATTATTTCAGTATTTTCAGGAAACGTTTTAGTAAATTATTATTCATAAATTATAGATTCGTAAGATAAAGTGTTACCTTTGACTTTCAATCTATGAACTCTATCAAAAGAGGACTGAAAAGATTAATTCATAATTCCATTTTATTTTCAGTATTATGCAACATTAGAGGTATAAATATCTGTTTTAATATACAACATCTATGACATCCATAGAGCTTTCCTTGGGCAAAATACAAAACTCAAAACACTTTTATTGCACATATTCTAAAAGACAAACCATCGTAAGCAAGTTCATCTAATACTAGTTCTGCACAGAGGAAGAAAAGAAGAAAAGGAAACTGAAACGACAAGCAGAGAAAGAAGAAGCTGACGTATGAACAGACATTGATTACAGCGCAAACAAATGTTCTTATTAAACATCCTGGAGGCCGGGGAGCAAAGTCTCACACTACTAGAAACAACATCTCGGACACACAACACAGATTTGGCAAATCAACAATATACAAAATATACATCCATGATGCTTTGTAAACAAACATTGAATGTGCTTTGAGGATTGAAATGTCAGTCGTCACAGGAGGAAAGAAAACACACGTGTGTTCAATGTGTTCAAATAAACACGCCAGTGAGTCACGAGAGGGGAATTCATAAACCAGTTTCAGTTCCATTTTCTTCTTCTCACCCTCTGAACTAAATATTGTCAAACATTAAGGTGCATTTGTTCTCTCACACTACATTAGCAATACATTAACAATATCTAATGCAAAGTAAACATCGGATTCATTTAACACTAAAATCTCTGCAATCAATCTCACGTGTTTCAGTTCCCTTCTGGGATACAGTGTGCCTGCCGTTAGGATGAACTGTACACCGCGTCATGTCTGACTCGTCAAAATGAGAGGACATGTAGTGGACAAGGTTGTCTTTACAGCCAGCACAACAGAGCAAATACTGCACGACATACTTAGTGTCCGAGGCGACTCTCTCGTTCTCATTTAGGGTTTGCAATTCATCTACAGTATAGAAACGTGTGTGTGTGTGTGTGTGTGTGTGTGAGTTGCAGATAGTGAATGCGGATATATGACCGCCTATACGTGTAGTACCAAGTATTTAACATCGAATGCATGTTGTGGACATGAAGTATGCGTATGGAATCTTTACCCAGGTGAAGCTGTAATCCAGCTGCTGCTCATTACGAAGAGTCCTTTGAAACATCGAAACACTCACACACGACTTGAACAACACGAAGACCGAAACCCGACATTTAAATCTGTTGAAACCCCGACGGTGAAGCTCTCTCTCTGTACTTTAATCTAATCTGATCTTCATAACGTGATTGGTCTTAATTTCATTCTGCGCGGACGGAACCGGAGATGACGACCAAAGCCTTCAGAAACCAACTGCATCTCATTAGTCAAACAACAATATTTCATAATTTACACTCATCATCAACGGCAAAGACATTCCTGGGAAATGCTGACAGCCCTGACAGTTTTGTTATTTAATGCTACATTTTCAGAAATAGCCGTCCACCCCCTCCTGCCTGTCCCTCTCTCTCGTCAAGTTCATTCTGGAACATGTGAACACATGTTGAAAGTCACAAAGAGGAGGATGCCTGTGATCAGACGCACCACGGTAGCTTACTTCAGACCACAGAGATACCGAGCTCTTAATACTGAGCATACAAACAAATGATACCGCAGAATCTATACATATGGTACAAACGACGATCATGTAAGCCCATGAATCCCAGTTTTACAGCGTTTTCATATTTACACCATATTGCATAAAAATCAAAAAAAAAAAAATATGTACAGATGTCAGAGGAATGTGAATAAACACCACACCTTGCTAAGAACAGCAAGTTGTTTTTTTACTTCCCATAATTCTAAGGCCCCTTCGCTAATTTAGGATTTGCAGAACCGTGAGATGGTTCTGTATTTTTAGTTTTAAGTGAAGAGCACAGGGCACAGTGCGTTCCCTCTGTGTACCACTGCACGGAAACCCAACACACACAGAACCTCACTCAAGAGAGAAACAATCGTGATACAAACTGCTGAATTGCTGAGTAAAAACTGTGTGTGTTCTACTACTGCATTAAAAGACTTCAGGCCCTCCGAGTCTAGAAGAGTGCAATTCAACATCACTTATATGGCACGGACTCTACAGTACGTCACACACCTCGGGGAGGCTCCTCCTCCCTCCGCTGCCCCCGACACACCGATTGCACAGAGCAGAAACAAAACTTCCAAACAATCAACTTGATGTAAAAAAAAGTAAAAACACCAGAAATGATCAGCACACACACACACACACACACACACACCTCTCTACCAGCATGTAACAGCTTGCCGGTCCTCAAACAAAAACAAAAACAATAAGGCGGCATGATGTTTGCACAAACTATTTTCTAACGTTACATCTGGATTCTCTGACGTCGGATGCTATTTTTCACTATTTATTTTTTGTTATTAGAACTTCGCGGCGACTCCTTCTGCTGCTGCTTCCTGCCAGTGTCTCTGTCGTAGGCGGTGGCTCTACAAGCGTCTCTTTTAGTGTTTTTCTGTGCAGACGCGACCTCTTGAACGGCCTCTTTTCTCTTCCTCTCAGCCTGCTCCCTCCTGCCGGAGGACACCTGCTTGTCGGGGGTGGTTGTCCGGGTATCCGGGCCCTTGTGACCGTCCGGTTTGAGCGTTTCAGCCTTGGGGCCTTCCTTGGACACCTTGACCAAACTCTCCCGGGGCGCACCGCCGGAGACCCGGCCCGGGACGGCTTCGCTGCCCTGCGTTTCTCTTTTCACCGCGGGTTTCGGCAGCACTGGCGGGGGATCGGGCTGGGAAGGAACATCTGAGGGCAGCTGATGAGGCGAAGCAACTTCTTTTGGTTTTGAGCCGTGATGGTTTCTCACGGCCGGGGCTTGTTTTTTGGGTGAGGGGTCTTTAAGTTTGGCATCAAGACCTTGTTTAATAACTGGTGTTGGAGCTACGGAAGTCTTAAGAGTTGACGATGAAGGGACGGCTTTAGGAGGGACAGATTTTAGCTTCCAGTCGTTTTCTTTCACTGAAGTTGCTACAGAGATTTTGGGGTTCTGGGTTTCTCTTTGCTTCGCATCAGCAAGAGTTGGAGAATGCGTCGGCTGAAGCGATTCCTCCCGCTTGGATGGAGACGAGGCTTCTCTCCGTTTAGGGTCGTGGGTTATTTGAGCGTTTGCCGTCGAGAGCACAGATTCTTTAGGCAGATCTCTCTGTTTTGAACTCGGACTGCCCTTCGCTGCGGGGACGGGAGGAGCTGCACTGTGAGACTTTGTCTCCGTCTTCACGGCGGCGTGCGGTACAGGCTGCGGGTCAGGCCTCCACTTATTTTTGGCAACCAAAACACTTTCATTTGCAGTTGCTGAGGATGAACATTTGAGTTTAGCAGCGGTTTCTTCTCTTTTAGAGGCGCAGTATTCTGAATCAGATGATTTGTTTTGTGCTTCTTCAGCTGGATAGATCGTTGATAGCTGCTCTGAATCTTTCACATTGACTATGTTCTTTGTCTTTGGTGATGTGGGCTCCTCTGTTTTCTGCAGCAGTTTGCTGCTACTCTCTATTGCACCAACAGTGTTATCTTTTCTATTCAAGTTCAGTGTGACATTATTTAATGAGGAGACCATGTTTACTCTAGAAACTTCTCTCTTTTGCTCCAATTTTGTGACTGCAGCACACGCGTTGACCTCCTTCTTCGAGCCTGAGCTGCCTGTATCAGCGACCGCTTTCACAGCAGATCCGTTACATTGTTCCTCACTAACAGACCCGACCGAACAGTCCTGACCGTCCGATTTCAAACTGCAGGTTTCATCTTCTTTCACAGAACCAGACGTTGTGATAGAAACCTGCGGTTCCGTGTTTGAAGAGCAGATGTTCGACTGCTGCTGCGTTGAAAGCAAGCTCTCTGGAACACGCACAGATGAAGAGTTGTTCTGTACAGTCGCCTCAGAGCTCACGTTTGAGGTCTGTGCAGGAGTCGTTTCTTTCTCACAGCTCTGACGCCAACCTCGCTCCAAACCACAGTTTATACTCCGCTTCAGCGACACGGCCAGCGGTTCACTGGCAGCTGCAGCCGGAGTCAAAGTTTTTATGCTTACCTCCGGCTTTGCTGAAGTCATAGAGCCCACTGTGTTGGAGCTGTCGGTGTTCTGTGATGTGGCGCGTGGTGCGACTTCCTCCTGCTCCGCTTCATCCTCCTGATCTTCATTGCTGACTTCCCGTATGGAGGGTGTTTTTCCACAGGAGAAGTGGGAGCTGTGTCGAGGGCCTCTGTGTTCATGAGCCAGTGATGAACTGGACTTCATACCCGTCCGGCTCTCTTGTTTAACACTAAAGCTCGACACCTCCACTTTGCTGGTTTGAGCCTTTAATGATTCACTGTGTCTGTCCTGTGTTTTCTCACCGCTTGTGCTTATTTTCATCTCCGTGGCTGCGTTATTTGACTGATCTTTGGAGGCAACGATGCTATTTAGGGAAGAAACCGCTTCGGGGATTGTGGAACAAGTGAGGGGGCTCTTCAGCTTGTCTGTACTTTTCACTTGGGGGATGGTTATTTGTCTCTCAGTAGGGGTCTGGAGCCAAATTGGAGGACTCAAAGAAACACTGTCGCTTGTGTTCTCCGCCATCTTGGATAAACAGGTTTCTGTTTTAGAAACTCTGGGCCCTGAGAGCAGACCAATATCCAGAGTGCCCTCCAGGGGTTTGAGAGAGGAGATGTGGCGTCCTTCAAGTTTATATTCAGACGACGTCTTCCGAAGCGGAGACTCTGCGGAGGAGATGAGCTGGAGTTTTTCCACGGCGCTCTCTCCTCTGCCAGAGAAAAGCTTCGGGGAAAGACCCTCAGGGCTGGAGTGAACACTTCCCAGCCCTGCCTTCATGTGCTCATGAGACATGGCCGTGTCCAGCTGGAGGCTCTTAGACCTGGTGGAGCCAAAGTGCAGGTTCTCGTGGATGCCGGGGGACAACCGACACATGCAGTCCTCTCGTTCTTCAAAGGACAGCCTCTTCCTGGTGAACTCGATGGTGGGAGCTTTGAAGTCCAGTCTGTCCGGCTTCATGTTATCTTTGCCCTGTCTGGAGTGCTGCCACTCGGGGTGAGTGGAGCAGAGAGTTGATCTGAGTCCTCCGTCACTTTCACAGCAGCCGCCAGATGTTTCGCCGATGCCCTCAGAGACACGTGTGGTGAGTTTCTTATACAGCACATCTTTCAGGGTTGTGCTTGCAGCTTTGGCCTCCAGGAGGCCAGAGTCTGGGCTGCTATGGGCTTTGATTTGGCTCCGGACCAGAAAACTCTCATCCCTGTCATCGCCACACAACGGGGACGATGAGTCAGCTTCACGCAGGGCGTCTTGCTTCTGTAGCGACTCCCTCCTCTCTGACCAGTCCTGCCTCTTTGCAACCATCTTGGACTTCAGCTTCTCCCTGTCGAGCTCCTCAACAGACTCCTGGCGGCCCATCTTGCGACTCACGGGCCTCTTCAAGCAGCCCTGCTCAACAGGTCGAACACGGTTGACTGCCAGCGGCTCGCAGGCTGTTTCTTCCACACTGTGCAAGACGGTGTAATCCCGCTCCCCAGGCCTCAGATCCTCATCCTGCACCTCCTCTTGGGTCACCTCCAGGCTGTGCTTCCTGGGACACAGGTGCTTCTTATCTCCTGTGTAAGAGGGGGACAGCTTCTCCTCAGACTGGACACGTTTTAGGAGGGGCGAGCGGGGAGGCTCAGCACTTTTGGGGCGCACGATATGACGTACAATCGTGGGTGGGGAATGTATCTTGGCTGGGAAGGCTTGGCTTGTCTTGGAAACGGGATGCCCACTGAGAAGGGGAGAGGGAGAGCGCTGAGGAGACGTTGGCTGGGGGGTGGGCGAGGGTGTGCGAGCCAAAGGAGAAAGGGGAATGCTGCCGGCAGACTTGCGGCGCCCCTGTCTGAGCCTTTGACACGGCAGTTTGGGGCCGAGGCCATGGAGGGTGCTGGGACGAATGTGACCCGAGCCTGCGGGGGAGTTTGGAGCGCTGGAGCTGGGGGAGCTACTCTGGGACGAGTTGCCACCTGGAAAGGACAGAAAAGAAAAAAAAACATCAGTCATTTAACATACATGAAGTGAAAATAAACGGTACGATTTCTTAGACGAAATCTCCACCTGACTGGGTGAACTCTGGTGTGGGGCGGAACGTGGCAGTAGGGGAACGAGGGGAGAGACTGTGGGTGGGGGAGCCGGGGAGACTCTCACCAGATGACAGAGAGTGGTTGAGGGAGGAAAAACTGCGGCTCGTGTGCAGGAGAGGAGACGGCTGCATGGCGAAACGTCTGAACAGCGAGCGGCGCCTGGAACAAAGCAAAGTGAGACAAAGAAAAATATTTTGTTTTTTTCTCTCCAACCTATTATTTGCTTTATTGTTTTGGGCAGTTTGAAAAAATGTACATACAAATAATAAAACAAAAACATGCAAAACACACACACAAAAAAAAATATGCATTGTGATTCAATATAGATATACTGATTGAACTGCTCACTTTCTTAACAATTTCCACAGACAATGTGTTCATCCAATATGTATAATTAGGACATTTACATCTAAACTGATTCAAATGTACGTTTCAGTGGATGATTCGTACCTTTCTGGTGTCTTCTCCTTCTTGGGCTTTTTGGCACACCTCACCATCTTGCTCCGGTAGCTGTTCCTTCTGGCCGGGCCAGTTTTTATCGAAGTGTTTTCGAACGGGGTTGTGGAGATGACCACTTTGCTGCCACTCTGAAAAGACAAAAAGACAAGACTTTTAGAATGTTTAGGGGTTAGATCAGTGTTGACGTTGTGTTTGGTGTACTCTCAGATTTTAACATTAATGCTATTACTGTAAGTAGAGGATGTTTACGGAAGAAAATATTAATTGGATTATAGTAGTATAGTACAGTAATAAACTCAATCCAGCTACAGTGAAAACATTACAGCAGTAATATGAAATGGAAACCTCCACAAGAATTGAATAAACTGTTATTTTTTATTATTATTTGCAATTGGTCCTACAGCTAATTTAACATTTATGAAATTAGAAAACAACATTTTTACTTCAAAATCATTCAAAAAAATATGTGATATCTGCAGTTTAAAGAAAGATATATTGTCATTTACCTTGAGCAGGAGCTCCACCACTTCAGTGTGGACAAGACCGTGGACTGGTTCTCCGTTCACATGAGTAATGAGGTCTCCAGCTTTGAGTCCTGCTTTATGTGCAGGTCCACCGTCTTCTACATTCTGATTGACAGACACATAAGAGACATTTGATATCATCATCTATTTTGCCATTTCAGGAAGTTTAACGGAAGTTCAGCTTTTGAATTCATGCTAACATCACATGTTTACTATCATAGAATCCTGCAGTTCGTCTGCTTTACTTTCACACCACAAACAAACTGAACCAGACCACAACCCCTCCGGAAGCGACCCGAAGGCTTTTACACCGGTGCAAATGAACCAAACTAAATGTTGTTCAAACATGTCGAGTGTGAAAGCAGCCCCACAGTCTCCTGCAGGCTGATATAGCCCTTCCCTTACCCAGACCATATGGTAGACAGTGTAGACGTCACCGTCGCAAGCGTACACCCGGATCGCCCTCAGCGTGAAGCCGAACTTCTTCCCCGAGCTGTGGATGACGATGGGCTGCCGCGGGTTGGCGTTACAGAGGGAGGAGTCTCGGCTGGGAGAGGAGTCTCTCGAGGACGGGTCTGAGGAGAGGGAGTACGGAGACAGGGGGCTGGCCAGCGGAGACACCCCGAACATATCTGGAAAGAAATGAGAGCTGATCACCACCTGAGCAGATTCTGTCATTTAATCAATCAGACGTTGGCCCCTCGAGTCAGCAGTGAGGTGTTTCTATAAAGCTCATGAGCCCGGTTCATTCTGCTCCTGCTGTGGGTGAAACTAATGCGATTTTCACTCTCCCGGCAGTGAAGACCTCTTGCTCCTGCCCTGCCTGCTTACTCTCCTTATTAGCGGCTCGTGCTCGGCTACTTGCCCGCAGCCACTCTGTTTAAATTGAACTCACAGCAGGTGTCACGCTGGGCCAATTTCACACAGATCTATACAGCGGGGCTTTCATCTCTTTCACGTTATTTGTACAAAAAGTGTGCTGCTCTTATTGCAATTCTTGGCACGCTGTTGCTCTGATATACTTCTAAAAACTGATTGAGATCATATTTTTGTGTCAGCATGTTGCACATCTGCGTTCTTCGTCTTACCGCCAGGGATCATGAGGGAGAGGGCACCGGTTGAGACGGACTTTGGGACTTTAGCCACAGCTCCGGTCTTCTCTGCAGCGCTCTCGGGCCGCAGAGAGTTGGTGTGAGCGCCCTGGTCTGCGGAGGTATGACTGGTGCTGTCGGGGCTCTCCACCTCTTCACCTCTGGGTGTCAACTGGTCCAGATGTTCTGAGAAACTTCCTGATTATTAGAAAAGATGAGCATGGAGTGAGACACACACAACTACGCGGAGCAAATGCTGACAAACAACTTATTGACTTTACAAAAAAGATGATCAAGCACATTTATTATAAAGTTGTATACAATGAAACTCGAGATGTGGTTATTTCCCACCAGATAGCGTGGCTCCACTGTGCGTGCTGCCTGGAGTTGTAGCGTCAGGCTCGTCCTGCAGGAGCTCCCCAGTGGAGAAGGAGGTCTTGCTGGGGTCACCGAGGCCGGAGGTCTCGTCTCCTTCACTGTCTGCCGAGATGGCAAACTTTGGCAACAAGTTGGGGCGCTGGCCCGGATTCATTCCGTCCGTGTCCGTCGAGTGGGACAGCGAGGGCCTGGTGGAAGAAGAGAAGAGATTCTCATGAGGTGAACAGATCCTCACTTCTCAGAGGGATTATTGGAGTAGACCTCAACCGACATAGATTTGTTTTTAGGTATTTAAAACACGTTTTGCTGCTGTACATCACTTAGCCTCTGTGTCGGTACTCCTGTCTGTGTTTCCAAACTCCATCTACTGCAGATAACACACCGACTACGGATGAGTACATCTTTAACCACCGAATTTGTAGCACAATGCAAATGTTTTCCAGTAATCAGTGGCCACATATATACAAAAAATATAGTTCTGTTACTATGTCTGTAAGCAGAAAGATCTTCTCATCTTGTGTTTCATATGATTCAAGCCCTGAAGTGCATATTGGATCTCGGCTACATACTGCATCGTGTTTATGTTACAGAGGTTTAATGCATACATTTCAGCAAAGTCTGGCGTCCAGCTGAGGGAGTCAACAGTCAGTGGGCTCTCGCTCTTCTTCCCCTCACTCTCTCCCTTCTCCTCCAGGTGCCCACGGGACAAATCCAGGCTGCTGTAAACCTGACAACCACAGAGACGCAACGGTTCACTTTAGTACACGCAGGCTGTAAAGGCAAAATGATGACACACACCGTCATGCTCAGAATAAGCTACAAAGATTGATTAATAAATGTAGAGTATTCTGTACAGACAATAAGGAATGCTAAATAAATCAGGGTTTTACAGTGAAACACTGTGCTGTTAATGTGAGTTAATGCAGACTTCATCGTGTCTTACGAGCATGGAGCTTTAGGTGCAGCAGCGATTCAGTGCTGCTCAACACTTCCTCCGAGACGCCCCGCTGCTCTTTGAGACAATGTAATGCTTTGTTTTGATGTGCGAGGGGAGCATACTGCAGTGCAGCACAACAATCGCTCGCAGCTTGTATGACTGTATTGTGTGTATTGTGTTCCACATTTACAAAAAACAGAAGAAGCAGAAAATATATGCAAAGCCGACATCTACGTTTTAATACCGCCGGGGTAAAGGGACAGCGGGGTGTGCTTTCCAGACACACATTTCCATATGAAATACCACTCGGCTCATGCTTTGCTTCCCGTGTGAGAAGAGGAGCAGGACGGATGAGGGCAGCAACTCATTTACATTGCTAACATCTTCAGGCGGTAACGATGAGGTATTTTTGTGTTAGTGGGAGAAATTCGAGGGGGAGGAGATTAAAGGACGCACCTTGGAGAATCTGTGAGAACAAGAGGAGAACTGCCGCAGCTCCACATTGAAGTCTTCATCGTTTGTGTCCTCTTCCTCTGTCTCCAGGTGATGGTACCTCTCAGAGCGAGCTGGGGATGATGGGAGATTCACTCAGTTATTAAAAGTTTATTATAAGTGCCACAAGGTGATTTAAGTAGATGAAAATGGATCCTAATCAGTTTTCACTCCTTTTATTCATGTTTTTTGAATATGTGGGTTTGTCGTGTGATTTGTACTAAACATGTGTCTGTGATTGGATGTTTTTTTGCCGAAATGCTCTTTGGGAGTCGTAGTTAACGTTTACTTTAATCTTTATAATCAAAGAACCAGATATTTTCTAACCCAGTTATTGTTTTGCGCTGCTGATTCATGTTTAATGGAGATCCAAGATGTAGAAATGCTCCATGTTACATTGTGTAAGAGAAAAAAAATGAACGGGACTTTTACTTTCAGAACAAAGTCGCCCAAAATATCGAATAGAAAACATCCAAACAAGAAAATTATGAGGCGAGATCCTGTTATCAGGAGCGAATCTTTTCTATGATTTATAAGCAAATCTATGGACACACGTAAAAAATAATACATTGTGAACCTTTTTTTGAGTAACACTGATGCTTTGGTTAGATAACTCACTGTCGAAGTAGCTGGTGTCGTCTTCAGACTCCAGCTGAGGAATGAACTCGGCCTTCTGCCTCAGCAGGCTGTTCCAGTCCAGGTTGTGGAAGAACTGATGCTGCTTCACTTCGGCAGCTCCTCCTGCGGATGGAATAAATGCAAATTTAAAAGAACAGTGTTAATACATTTCCTAAGAACAAATGTGAAAATTATTTGTGTAGAAAACGCTGACAACGAAATGGCTCAGTGAGACCCAGGAGGCGAAGAAACGCTTACGCTATGTTTTCCTTTTTTCCCCTGGTGGCTGCAGGCCAAACCGATATAACCATAAATTATGCAGGACAATTTCCTGCCTGTGACCTTTCGTGGAATAGCAGGGGACTTTGTGAATGGCAGCCTGGCGATGGGGAGCTCTAGATGAACGAGGAGGTCCAGATGTCCCTGGACTGAACTGGCTACCTGCAGCCCTCTGATAATAAAGGCCTCGTCCCAGGTCATGGACACTTTTACGGCCCATGGATCTACACGCTCTTACTGCTTGATCATGCATGGACCTAGATTCATGGACTAGCAAAGGAAATAATTGCAATTGATCAAAGGGAAGAGGTGAAGAGGTCACAGGATAAACTGCCCTGCTGTCGGATGACCTCAATTTCTTCGCCCGGTGACTTGGAATTATGAGCGCTGCTGAGGTGGCACTCAGGGTCACGTGATGATTTATGTTGGCCTGCTGAGCCTGTCCGGTCCTGACCGAGATGCTGGCTTTTTTTGTTGCTCTTTGCTGTCTGTACCTGTGCCCATCCTTTCCAGAGGGTTCTGTCGGAGGAGCAAGGCGATGAGCTCCTGAGAATCAGGAGGCGGGGCATCTTCTCCCTCAGGCCAGTTGATCTCGTCTGGAAACAAACAATGCAAACGATAAGTATTTCAGACATGATGTTAAAAAATTAAACATCCAGAATACTATATTAGTAACTTGTGCAGAAGGTAACTTTGGGACAGTTTGGGACACCTACAGGTCATTTCTCGCTACCTGTAGAGCCAACTGTGTGTGTCTTGTTTAGCATTATCGCTGCTACTAGCCGCCATTTCTCACTAGAATTAAATTTGTCATGTTAGGAAGCTCGAGCCGACAGATGTCAATGTGAGAATGTGAAAGAGCCACGTGTAAATGTACTTCCAAACAATCATTTTACAAGTTTGCAGCATATTTTATAAATGCTGAAAGTGTCTAAATACTGTCAGATATCATGAGACTGCAGCAATGAGTTCTCTACCTCCATGCTTCATGTGCATGCTTTATTGTTTGTCAACGGGAGACCTGTTCATAACAACAATAAGATTAGCATTACAAGAATGAAGGAATGTGAGATTTAGTATTTTTTTTATTCATTTGATTTAATGCCGTTACCTAATTGTGACCCCACTAAGGCCGACATTTACCAAGTGCTCTTTTTAAAATGGCTTCACCAGCAAATTCAGACAAAACAGAGTTCGTTCTGAGGTGTAAGCATTATGTCGAATGAGACAATTTAAATGTGCTCTAGCTTTGAGTGAAAAGCCTCGTGGATAAGCACTGAAAAGGGGGAGCAAAGCCCGTCTGTGCCGTGCTGATTGTCTGCTCTGTGCACCATTTGTCCCCATTTTAATCAAATTTGGGAGGGGAGCTATGAATATGTATGTGCGGCCTGAGGCCACGGTGGCATGCATTCAGTGTGTTCAGGCCCCTTTAATTAACAGTCGCTCTCGGAGGCTTGGTGCGATTTGATTGAGAGCATAGCAAATCGGTCATGGCATGCCATTTATTTCCCCGCCACAGATAGAGGCTGTTCTCCAACAACTCATCCGAGCCACAACGCTGACAAGATAAAAGCCGTTTTCTTTTTTTTTTTTAAGAGTAAGATTTTTCCCTGTGCGGCTGTCACCATGAGACTACAGGGAGAGGACAAAGTAACATCATCAGAATTATTAAAACTTCACTTGTGGTCTAAAGTCAAGCTGAATCCGCCTCACGCCATCTGCTTTCCTACGGGACCTCGGGGGAAATCTCTGTCTCCAATAAATTGAGAAATATGCACACAGAATAATTCCATGTGGTCACTATGTAAATGTTTAATTCATATCTGAATGAGATTTGGGAATTCCTCCTCATTGTGCTCAACAGAAGCTAAAAGCCAGATGCTGTGAAACCTGCGAAAAATGTGTCTCGTCAAAATTATATATTTGATAAACTGACCTCAGTTTATTTTCATCTTTAAATACAAACATCAGAGGCAGTTCATGTTTCCTCTTGATCAATTGATGCCTCAGTGAAATGTCATGCTGTGCATTGTAATTCAAATACGACATGTTTTGGGTGGGTGTAAATATTGTCAGGACACTATTTAAACATTCATCCTTTAACACAACATTGTGGTACGGGTTTCATCTGACACATTTGACTTAATGCAAAGTTAACGTGGTTATTTTAATTTTCTCTTAATTCAACGTTTTTTTTGCTGTTGTCCAATTTATTTTATTTATCATTAAGTATTAATCAAACCTCCATTATTTAGTTTTTATAGTTTTTTTTTCTGATTTTATTAATATTTTCTTCATCTGTCTGCCGGAGTTGAAAGATTGTATTGTTGGTTTTTTTATGATATACTTCTGTGTTGTTAAAACTTAGAAATTCCCCCAAAAATGTGTGGTTTATTATCGTAAATTAAGGATTAGAATGAAAGAAATATTCTGTGCTGAGGATCCAACACCAGTAAGGTGTGAGCAGTAGTCTTTATTAGGCAAAAATATGGCCAAAAAAAGCCTGTTTTTAACAATCTGAGAAGAAATAGATGCAACACTGACCACTGATGACCTGTCCGAACAGCTCCTCTGGTGTGTCTCCAAAGAAAGGCACACAGCCCACGAGGAACTCGTAGAGGATGATGCCCATCGCCCACCAGTCCACCGGCTTCCCGTAGCCTTGTCTCAGGATCACCTCTGGTGCAATGTACTCTGGGGTTCCACACACCTAACAATCAAAACATAATAAATAACCAGAACACGATGTGGCTCGGGGAACATGTTTGGTCCAAACTGTCGGTTGAATGAGATGCACCTGCTTATCAGAGAACTCCCTGGCATCTTTCTCTATGTGTCCCTCGTACAGGTTGGTGGTCATGTTCATCAGCCCAACTTTGGACAACCCGAAATCTGTCAGCTTGATGTGCCCCATTAACGTTACCAGCAAACTGTGAGGAAGAGGACAAGAGGAGGAGAACGGAAACATTACAATGAATTGGGATAATGAAAAACAATAGTCAGTTGGCTGCTATGACATTCGGGAGGTCTCACTTGTCTGGTTTGAGGTCCCGGTGGACGATGCCATAGTTGTGGAGATACTCCAGAGCCAGCACCGTCTCTGCGAAGTACATCCTGGCCATGTCCACGGGCAGGGGACCCATGTTCTTCAAAAGGGTGGCACAGTCTCCACCTGTGAACATCAATGGAGTGATGTGATTGAGAAAAACACACAGGAGACATTGTTCAAAGTGCTTTCAAGCTGCAGCACTGTGCACAAAAAAAAACAAAAGAAACTAGCGGCCGACCTTCAACATACTCCATGACCATGCACAGGTGCCGCCGTGTCTCAAACGAGCAGTACATGGACACCACAAAAGGGTTCTCGGCAAAGGTAAGGATGTCTCTCTCCACAAAGGCCTGCTGTATCTGATTCCTCAAAATCAGGTTCTGCTTGTTGATCTTTTTCATGGCGAACCGCTGCTTCGTTTCCTTGTGACGGACCAGATAAACAGCTCTGTGGAATAAAAATGGTTTAACAGTCAGCTGGAGGACATGAACCGATCCATTTAATCATCAAATCAGTTTTAATGTCTATTGTTATTAACGTCTGGAGGAAACAGAAGGAAAATGCGGAGGGAGATAACCGAAAACAGGAAAAGAAAAGGTCAGTTCGACCTGAAATAGTTGGGGCTGTAACAAACCATCCATCATCGGAGATTAGACACTCGGATATAGATTAAGATGTCCTTACCCATAGGCACCATTGCTGATGAGTTTTGTCATCTCAAAGTCCAATTCACAGGGTTTATGCCGGCACCGCAGGGCTGTGCTGAGGCTCTGAGACTGAGGGCGAGAGGAGACACAAACGCTAGAGCAAATCAAAAAGATAACATCTGTACTTCGACCTGCGGTAAAGATGGATGGAGTAGATCAATGCAGGAAAAACAATCCCCGAGTGCTCACAGAGTCGTCCGTTTCTGGTGTTTCTGCAATCCCGCTGTCACAGCTGGTCAGCTGAGCGATTTCTACAGAAAAAAATAAAGAGAAAACAAGCAGTTTATGTATTAAAAAAAAGGTTGTTCGTGTATCAAAAATCTATAACTTCATGTGAGGCCGACGAAGACATTCTGCAGAGCAGTTTTTGAAACAAAGGTAACATAAATACGGAGAAATCAGGACCCGTTAACGAAACGAACAGCAGCCTTTAGTAACCCATTAGGCTCGAGGTGCTGACTCCGAGATAATCTGAATTGAGAATAAATGGGGCGGAAATCAGTAGTGGCAACACAAACACATGTCTAACACCCATTTTGAAAATCACCACTCCAGAACAAGTGCTCATTATAAACCACCTTGCATCTTTTACATGTTGTTGTCTGTGTGTGTGTGTTTGTGTGCAGCCATGCCAAATTCCATGTGTGTGTTTCCACAGCGGGGGTGTTCGTCTCGTCCTTAGAGAGCCCGTAAACACATTTCCACCGCTATTTAACATCTGTCCTTCGTTGTAAGGTTTGCTGCGGGCACACGAGGCTCCGGGCAAAGCGAAACGCGGGAGACACTCGGGGGAAATGAAGGGAGAGATTGGCTGATGAGCCAGCCTGTGTGGATCTGTATAAGGTCTGTGGGGAGGCCATTCCTTTCTAATTAGTCATAATGGATGTTGTTTGTAAGTGAATCTGGAGAGACAGAGGGTCATTAGAAAGACGGTCTGTTCAGTACAGCCCATTAGTCAGGAGTATCTTTGCCCATTAGTTCTTTCATTCCTTTACAGCCAGCTACCCTGTATTCTTATACACCACATCACCGACAACTGCAATACTCAGCAGTCCCGTGGAGTTATAGGAGAGAAGATACTTTCTTCTTTACAAGCCTTTTTTAGTCTAACGTTTTTTGTTTTGTCTTTCTGTTGTTATCTTTGATCAAACTCCTTATTTCAGTGTCTTGTTGACGGGTGCCAGCGGCTCTAACCACAGGTGTTTGTAATGTGTCATCACTGATGATGACCATCATCTGGCCCTACCTTCAAGAGGATCCCTGGTGAGTCCCAGCTGGCTGATGATGTAACGAGGGATGTCCGTTTTGATGCCCTGGCCCTCTTTAGCGTGTCCTTCAGCGGCCTCCAATAGGTGGTAAAATTCTTCTGGGTCAAACTCCTGGAGACACACACAGCAGCACGCTTCAGTACATGAACAAAAAAACAACACATCCGTAGTTTTTGTACCAGGATCAGGTTTGTAGAAGTCTCAGTGTGAAGTTTGAAGGTTTGATGAATGGTGATAATGTTGTTAACTACAGGATGTCTAAGGGATTAAGTGGCAGCTCTGCTGAAGGTAGAGAGATACACATTTAGGCCCTGATCCGACAGAGCATTTCAGCAGCCTGGGGAGGATTCTTGTAATTCTTTTAAAAAGAGAGTTAAGCGTTTTGCATGCTGCCTTTGCACTGCTGAGCACCTGTAGTTGGAACATTTTTGAGCGGAAAAGCGCCTCAACGTCATTTTGTTTTGCATGTTTTTCCTCATTGCTGTGATTTTTGTTAGATATGACTTTTCCAACTGTAGTTACCACGATCTGAACAGAAAAGAGCGGGAGGCAAATTAGTGCAGTATTTGAATTTTCATTAATTTAAACTGTACCAATACTTAAGGTAGAGCACACTTCATGGTTTGTTTAGCACTCATAGCTGCCTCGCATCAAGAAGAAGCAACACACTATAAAAAACGCTCTGTCTGATCAACCGTGGAGCTCATCTCACATGATTCCACCTGCAAAACACTCCTTTTCACATTACATAATCAATTTAACTCATTTAACCTGGATGTCTGTAGCTACATTAGCATGTTTCACTTTGGATAAGTTGGAAAGACAGTTACACTGCTCTAGAATCCTGTTGAGTCACAGAATGAAGAAGATAAAACAACAGAAATACAAAGGTAAACATACGGTATATTTTAGAAACATACCAGACATTCCAGCAGTCGAGCGGGTCGGGCTATGATGATGAGGATCTTCTTCACCAGCTCTCTGATGACGTTTACATCCTCGCTTTCTGATCTCTCTGTGGACTAAAGCGCAAGATACAAGATTTCAGTTTTTCACACACTATCGTGGACTGGGAAAATGCAGCATGGTTCTCCTTTATATCAGTGTGTGCCTCACAGCATCAAGCTTGAGCTCTAAACATCTAATTTTCCCAAAAATAAATAGCCAGTGATCTTTGAAAGACCCAGAAGGTCCGCTGTATTTCTTAAAGGAACTTTTCCCACACCAAGTTCTTGTTAACTTTCACAGAGGAGCAATAGAGAGCATCTTGACTGAAGACATTACAAACTGGGTTGGGATGTGCACGGCCCAGACCATAAGTGCTCTGCAGCGGGTGATTAAAACCACCCAGAGCATCACTGGTACCCATCTACTGAGCGTCGGTTATATTAGTGACAAGAGGCGCCCGCGCAGAGCCCAACGGATATTAAAAGGCAATACCCACTCCAGCCACAGCCTGTTCACCCCACTGCCATCTGGCAAGAGATACAGAAGTATCCGCTGCCTTCAGAGCTTCTTTCCTCAGGCTGAGCAACCCCTGATTCCTGTAGACGTGCTCACCTCTTGAACAAGCCTCTCCAGCTTGTCGGTGAGCTCGCAGAAGTAGCTGGAGGTGATGAGTCCTAGCCGGCTCTTCTCCAGACAGTCGCGGGCCAGTTCAATTATCTGGTGGTGGGCAAAGCCGAGCACGCCATCTGCCAACGGGAGGACGCTCTCTGGAGAGTTGCTGCGGATGATGTCCTGAATCCTCTCCTCCATCTGAGCCGTGGCCTGCAGGAAGAAGGGGAAGGTGTCAGTTTGTTAACGCTTAAGATAATTAACGGCCAGACGTCGGCTGTAGCGAACATACTGTGAACTCTTACCCTGGGAAACCGCTCCTTGTAGACGTGATTCATCATGATAATCTCATGGTCGTAACACGATGGAGATCTTCCAGGGCTGAGAGAGAAATTTGACAATCAGTACATGACGGTAAACGTTACCACGCGAGGATGACGTTCACCCGCAGAGGTAAATGTACCTGAGGCTGCGTGAGCGGGGTCGCATGGCCGTCGCTCTGCGGCATTCGTCCCCGGAGATGCTCTCAGTGCAGAAGTGCCTGGAGAGGAAGTGCAGTTCATCCGGCGTAGGCTGGAAGGGCAGCTGGTGCAGCTTCTCCTGTGATGAACAGGATGACTGGAAATGAAACACATATACATTCAACATGAAAAGAAAAAAAGAAAATGTTTTTTTTGTGTGTGGATAAAAAAAATAACATAACAGAAAAATCATGTGTTTTGGCAATTTTCCACTCAAATAACTGCAATATTTTAAGGAATAGTACATTTCAGTTTTTGTATATATTAAACTAACAATATAAAAATGCGTTAGAGAGCTTTAGAGGTGCTGCTGGTAGGCCAGGCTATCCGTTTCCCCCCGTTTCCAGTCTTTATGCTAAGCTAAGTTAGCCTGAAACTTTATATTATACCCGACACATGAGAAGGGCAACAATCTTCTCATCTAACGCTTAGCAAGAAACCAAATGTTTCATAGCAACACACGGGACAGATTACCCTGAAATACAACAAAATAACAATCAATTTTACAATACTTTATTAAAATACAAGGAGTATTGCATTTTCAGTGTATTAAACACATCATAGTGTTGTACTCAATAACTCAAACAAGGAGCCGGACCCTCACCTCATACCAAAAGCTGTTTCTAGTCTGACTTGAGTCATGACTGATATTTTACCAGAGAAACAAGGACGTGCTTCCTTCGATAGATGTCGTGAATAGCAGGAAATGTACTAGCTGACTAAACAACACACTAAACAAAACCACTTCTAGTCCCCTGAGTCTTTGTAATTCCTGTGAATTGTGCGTTCATATGCACAAGCTGTCTGCTTCCTATAAAGACGGATATATTTGAACACAACTATGTCAGAGTGAAAGAAAGAGCGTTGAAGACGGAGGCACTAGACACAATAAGAGTGATAAATGTGTCTCTCGTTTACTCCAGAAACAGTCTTTCACCTCTCATACGATGTTTCATGACGAGTAAACAGCCACAGGGACGAATACTAAACTGAATATTAACTCACAATCATGTTCCAGCATTATAAATGTGGGTTTAATTAGTGCTGAGCGATTCAGTGTTTTTATATCAAAATAACAATTGAAAGTGCTTTTTTCAAATGGCAAAAGCTGTTTTAATTATAACTTTAATAATGAAAATATGCCATAACGACATGCAAAATCATCACGTTTACGCCCGTTTCTGGTAAATTTACTGAGCTGTTGTTTGTGAAAAGGTTTCCTTGTTCATATTTTCACTCTCTGCTTGTCTGAGAAAAATAAAAGTGTGCCGTGTCTTTTGATGTGTTCATACGTTTCTCTCAAGTCAAGTTGACGCTTCACCTCAATTTAAGACCGATAGCTAAGAGGTAGCTACGAGGACTTTTTGCAGATGACGTGATCTGCTATTTAGAAGACCCTGACACATGCCTCCCTATATTAATCAACCAACTTGAGACGTTTGGCTCTTACTCTGGATATAAATTGAACTTGTCAAAAACAGAGATTTTAACACTGAACTACAAACCAACGGAAACTATACAACGAACACTTAACTTAAATTGGAGTTCTAAAAGAATGACATATCTTGGGGTTACTATAACAAAAAGTATTAATGACCTATATAAAGCCAACTATAATAAAGTGGATCAGGACATTAGGAATGATTTGGAGAGGTGGGCTGTTCTTCCACTAGATTTCAGTTCACGGATAGACACTAAAAATACTTCCAAGACTCTATCTCTTTCAGTCACTACCAATCGAGATCCCTGAGAAACAATTTCGAACCTGGGATAAAGTTATCTCGAGGTTTATATGGAACGGTCAAAGGCCAAGAGTCAAATACGAAACATTACAGATTGGAAAACATAAAGGGCGCATGTCATTACCAAATCTTAGGGCATATTTTCATGCAGCTCAAATTAGACCAGTCATTTATTGGTGTACCAATGACTATGAAGCTAAATGGAAAAACCTAGAACGATATATAGAAGGAAGGGAAATTCAAAGCCTTATCGGAGACAGAAATATAGCAAAAGATTTTCTTGACCAGATGGATGTTGTCACCCGATTTACATTAGAGATGTGGTTTAAACTGATAAGAAAATACAGATTAGAAGAAGAGCTCAGGCTTCTACGATGGATAGCCTATGATAGACATTTTATCCCGGGTACTCTCGATCTGAGATTCAAACAATGGATTTCACAAGGAATAACAGCAATATGCACATTAATGTCATTAAAGACGGGAGCGTTGTGAGTTTCCAGGAGCTGAAAGACAAATACTCACTAAATAACCGGGATCACTTCAGATATCTGCAATTAAGGGACTTTTTCGACAGAGAAATAAAGTACAAAATTAACTTGGATAAAAATGGAATAATTAGAACCATAATAGGAGCTTACAAATCAAAGAAATATAGAATCATATCGACTATATATCAACATCTGATGGAAAAATTAGAAAATACAACTTTTTATGTAAAACTGAAATGGGAACAAGAACTTGGTGTGAATATTACAGAGGATGAATGGTTGAATATCTGGAGGACACAACAGTCTTCAACATCCTCGCGTATTTGGAGAGAACACTGTTGGAAGAATGTAATGAGATTCTTTATTACTCCCCAAATTACAAACAGATGTCTGTCTATTGTCCAGCCATGTTGGAGGAAATGTGGGGCAGTAAATGTAAACCACTCCCATGTATTTTGGCTATGTCCGGAAATTGTACAGTTTTGGGGAAATGTCCATGTGGTTATAGTCCAAATTCTGGGCTATGATATACCAAAGTCATTTATCTTTCTCTACTTAGGTAATCTGACAACAGACACTGTGTTAAGAGAAGACGGGTATTTACTGAAGATCTTGCTAGCAGCTTGCAAGAAGGCTATCACGAAGAGATGGCACAAGGCAGATCCACCATCACAAGATGGATGGCTGAAAATTGTGACTGAAATGTATGATATGGAACTATTAACTCATAGAATAAGAGCTCAAGTGGAGCGATGTCGTGAGAAGTGGGAGAAATGGACGATGTTTACACGTCAACGATAACACAACCTGAATATTTCACAGGAGTTATCATGTTTTTGAAGAGACAGAGCAATCCAGATCCTTTTTTTTTAATTTTTAATTTTATTTTTTAAATTTATGTTTACGTTTTTGTGCATGTATGTCTGTCTGTCTGGTGAAAAGCAGAAAAATAAAGTGTGAAAAAAAAAAAAAACGAGGTAGCTACGTAGCTATTAGCTGCTGAGCAGCTGGTAAACAGAGTTGCAGAATTGTCAGAATCTCTAACAGTTAAACAGTTTGTATTTCTTTGACATTGTGCATTTTGGATTGGCATCTTATTGGTATTGTATCTTAATATTTACACTCTTTCCTACTTTGTACTACAACTGTTGCACAACAATTTACCTCAGTATAAATAAAGACCTGTCTTATCTCTTAAACGTTTCAGCACATCTTATGATCGTTTTAAGCTTTTCACCCTCATGACTCTGAACTGAGACCTCCAAGAGTCTCTCCTGTCAATCTCTCTGAATGTCATGATCATTTGAATATCATTTAGTGACGACTGTAGGTCTGTATCTATTGAATAGAAGAGAATCACAATACTGGTTCCTCCAATAGTACGACCTTACTTGTAACTACTCTGTTGTGTCGGTATCTTTCGTTGTGCGTTTTCTTTACGGTCAGATTGGGTGATCGGATGTTTAATGCTTACAGAGACGGTGGAGCTGGGCGTGTTGGTTCCATATCCAGAGGAGGGAAGGGAGGCCAACGACCAGCGGCGACCATCAGTCCTGTCACAATAACAGCAAAGTCAATAAATTAAGATGCTTGCCAGTGAGAAGAATTTGTAAAATTGTCTTTGGAAACATGAAATATGCATAATTTGACATGTTTGTATTGCTACAATCCCAATGATCACAGTGTTTTGGATGAATGGGCAACTTTCTTTGCTATTCAAAATGAAATTAGAGAAACAATAAGTGAATGTAGAAGTGAAACTTCAGAGTCACTACGAGACAAACTAATGAACGGGGGGGGGGGGGGTTATGAAAAATAATGTCTACTAGCGACGTATGTGAAGTTATGAAAAGGGGCAAATGAAAGCCTGACATGGTGGTGTTACCTGTCTGCTCTGTGGCAATGACTGTGGATTATAATAAAAATACACCATTACATGATATTGTGTTGAGAAATGTTATAAAATAAACATATTGATGCCGTTTTTATTAAAGCAGAAACAGACTTAACGAGCGGAATATTAAGACTTGTGGTGGCAGAGAAAATATTGACGTCTTAATTGGCTGACACAGTTGAATGGCTACAACTCTAAACTCAGTATACTCTGTTTATATATATTTTTATATAACTGAGAAGCCTCCGGCTGGTCTTCACTGGCGGATTTGTTCAGCAGCAAATCAAGTAAATATCGATGGTTGTGCGAATACCTTCGTGCAAAGGAGAAATGAGCAGAGGCACTCGGAGAGAAATTTCTAGGACTGTCTTGAGGGCTCGTTCCTGCCAGAAAGACACAAAATACAAAACAAACTTAAGAAAGGAAAACAACTCAATAAGACTGGATTTCAATTTCACTTTGCAGACAAAACAAAGACTGATTATCTTCAATAAACCACCGACGGCTGCTTTATCACGGTTCAGAGTCAACAGAGCAAACATGTTTGATGTCTGGTCATTTTTCACTTTCTTGAAATCTTCCTCAAAAGGATAAAAACGTATTAAAGTTGTGCTATGAGCTTGATGTTAAAGGGACAGTGATAAACACACATGCAGAAAACACTGTTCTCATTGCAGAAAAGTGAACTTTGATTTTTACTCTTCTCACTGATCCTCAATGGTTAAACTTCTGAGACACCTAGTGATCAAAACTGCCTTGATGTTGCTCTAAAAACTGCAGGTCTTTCATGTGGGCTTTACTAAAATGAAGCGACGTGAACATCAGAGTCTCTGCACGCGTTACAAGTTAATATACATTTAGTATATTACTTTTCTACTCTGGACTGCAGCCGCAACATTCAGAAAAGTTTTTCACAGGCTGCTGCTGCTGCAGGCTACCGGTGCGGCAACAAGACAGCTCCCCAAAAGTGAAGGCAAAACATCTGGATCGCCCCCTGAAGGCTGGTTGTTACTTCAGGAAGCACTTCACTTGATGTGCAACAGAGTTTTCTATGAGCAGAGCTCGCATTTTGACCAGCAATATTAAAGTCGATCATGACGACCTCTTGTTGCTGCCATTGGTAGGTTAGAAAAGTGCATTGCAGCAGTTAATTCTGGACATTATAAAAGCACAAACAGTACAAGGATTTTGGAATCTGACTTGGATTATTACGCCATATTACGTAAATGAAAGAAGTCTCTGTAACATACTTGATATGTTCCCTATAAACGGTTTGAAGAGGATCACTTTGCACCTAAAGAGAGAAGTATCTCCACTATTTCCTCCAATAGACATGCAGGACTCCCTCTCTTTAAATACATCAGTAATACTGTACTACATTACTGGTTATAGCAGCTCTGGGCCACTGAACACATCACACTGTAGGGACTTTCAGAAAGGCACCAATTAGCCGTCCTTATGGTCCGGCATTAATCAGAAAATGTTCCATACTGGGCAACAGTGACAGCGCCACTGAGTCTTGTTAGTGATGAATGTCACCTATTTAATTGCACCGTCTTCTTAATCGCAACCAATTAAAGATGAAAACCTCTTCCTTTGGGAGTTCAGACTGCACCTGAAGACACAGATTATCTACCGACTGTTCAGAACATTGTCTGAGAGAAACAACAAGAATTAAGGTTCGAGGGAAGGTCGATTATGAAATTATTCATGATCTGGAACAAGAGTTTGATCTGCTACTAGACGGAGCCAAGACAAAAACATTACTGCGATAGAAACCTTAATTATTGTGTATACGTCAATGTTCTCAGTCATCTGCCTGCTGCAGAAAGGAACTGAAAGGATGTTTTTCTTACCTTTGGTACCGATATTACGGCTGAGCCACAGTGTCAGGTCGTCCCAGCGCTGAACACATTCATTAGCAATAACGTTGTGTTTTTCGGATTCCATCTTAAAGACTGGGACCCTTCATTAGCGCCAAGTACAGACCAAAACACAGAGCTGAGGGCTCTCACTTTGCTGACCAATGCCAGGAAACAGAACGCCCTGTGGTACATGAGGCCTGCCCTCCCTCTGCTCCTGTGCATTTCCTGTCTGCCGGCCACCACTTCCTCACCCGGCACAATCGCTGCCCTTCAGCTCGTCACTGTACCGTCTGATTCTCAACAAAAATACCACGGAACTGACCCGACAAGCATCTGCATCCTATGTTGTCAACACAAAGTATTGTGTACATTAACTGTGTTTTTGTACATTTTATAATATCAATAGCGTATGAAGGTGCCTGATAAGTGCTGGTTCAAAGCTACAGAGAGGATTATGCTTCTGCTTGCATTTTCCAGTATTTTGCATGACAGCAAACATAACACTGGGGTGCTAAAACAGTGTTTACACATTAATTAATAGACATGCACATGTGCTAAACACACACTTACCTGTTAGAGATGAGAGAGGGGAGTGAGGTCGCGGTAAGCCTGAAGACTGACCGCTTCCTATCAGGCTTTTTCTGTTGCTCGTTCTGCAGCTGTGAAACCACAGAGTCAAATATTAGTCAGGACAAAGACTTATCACATATTTACCAACATAATGTACTAAAACTACAGGAAAATATCAGTGAGGGACTTAAATGTTGGCTTAATGTAATGTTTGCCTTAAGTACATTCGTTATTGTGGATCTAATGTCACTTTTAGTTACAGAAACACATCTTTACACATCCAGTTACACCAATCACAAACACTCAAATTGTACCAAAACCTTCCCTCTCTAACACACTCGAGTGTTTACAGTCCTGGAGGTAATATCGGTGCCTGCAGCGCTATGAAAAGAGACAGAACGTCCTGGTTCAGTCACCAAATTAAATCCGGTTCTCTGCACAGCATTCAGGATGCTCTAATGTCGGTTGATCATGTTAATACATGACTGTGACTCACGAGGGACCGCTGTGATCAACAACATGTGACTCATACATCGTAGCCCAGTTTTTAACCTTGAGAGAAAAATGAACTATTTCAACATTTAAAAAAAAACAAAAACATCTTCAGTGTTCAACGTCCTGATTAGTCTCGTGTGTTTATATTGAATTAGAGGCTGTCAGTGGAAACACATTCGCTTCAAGGTCAGAGACTCAATGACATCCTGTTACATAAGCTACTCGGAGAACGCAACCATTTTTAAGATGTTATTCAATAATAATTTCCATTCAGTGCATAACACCACAAAAAAAGCACATTTTCTGTCAGTGTTTGAATATTGAAGCTAGTGTGTGGCCGTGCTCCTGGATTTTACTGCAGCATTTGATGACCATAGTATTCTTATTGCCAAGCTTGACTGTTTTTCACCTTTAGTTCTTGCTTGGTTGAAGAGTTTCCTCTCTGGCAGAACACAGTGTGTATATTACAATAGAAATAAAGCTGTTGTTTATACAACAAGTGTTGCTAGGATTTTATGTCAGAGTCTCCATACACCTTGGACAGAGGTGAAGTTGTGCCGGAAATCCCTGCTCTGCTTTTGCATGCATGCATGCATGCATGCATGCATGTATGCATGTATGTATGTATGTATGTATGTATGTATGTGTGCATGTATGCCGATGACTCAACTTTGTTCTGTGCTTTTGTGACATTTGGTATCAGGGCTGCACTTTGGATATTTGTTCGTTGGGTATTTGTTAATTACCCAACGTTAATTAAGTTAAGTATTTGGTTTTCAATTTGGGGATTTTTGCATTTTTAATAACCAGGTTATATTGAGGTATATAACCTACCAAACTAAGAATAAAGAAGCTCAAAATATGAGAAGCCAAACCACAGTGATGCATGTCTACAGTGTGGAGTCCTTTACTGCAGTGATGGAGATGCACAACAACCCTCCATGCAGGAGAGGGAGAGTAGTCAGTCAGTTGGTCACAGGTGCAGCTCGCCTGTCTGTGTGTTGCTGCATTGATTGCACAGAATGTTTAAAACACACATGAGCTCCTGCAGTGATGCAGACGTGTGAGCATGTAGCCTTCATCTCTTTCTCAACACGCTAAAGCAGCTCTTACAAGAAACACCGCAGAGCCCTCAGAGCTTCAACACCTCAGCGATAGCGAAGAGGTTTGCAACTTTTTACTGGAGTCGATGATGATGTTCAAACGTCTATGATATTCTATGCTCCAAAAGATTTAGAATACACTAAAGCCAAAGAACTTGATGGACACAAAAGCAATTACAAAATTCGAATTTCTGATAGTTTGCACCAATCAGGTGCTATCTTGTTTGTTTTGTTCAGATCCCAAGAGCTTTAGTGCCAGTGAAGGCAAGCCCTATATCTGATCTGGTGCCTCCAGCAGATCCTTAATTCTCACAAAAAGTTAACGCAAGACTGAATATTACTACATGAATAAAAGTAGCAGAAGTAATTCGATTTATTCATGATTTAAAGCGACCCCCTATTGACTCTTTGCGCAGTGAGCACGCTTGCAGAGCTGATAGTCCTCGCTAGTATTTTTAAGTGGTGTGCAGTTGAACAGCCAAATACAGAACCCACACCTGAATAGATACTGTTTAATATTACTCACCAGCTTTAAAGACGACAATTCTTTTAACTAATTCTAATTCGTCCCTTGGGTGATTTTTTGCGCTCTCGGTGTAGATTAACTCACAGATTGGATGCATCGTTTGAACGATGACTCCAGATTGATCAGCGGACGGAGGAAGAGGCCTTGCTCCTGCTTAATGTCTGAGCAATTAGCCGCACACTATTGTCTGATGTGATGATTAATGTACGAACAACAAATGATCAGAAGCTAAATATGAATCAATCAGTGGCTCCCGTGGTTCAGTGCTCTCATGATTAAAAACATAGAGGATGCAAACTTTTAATGAAGTTTGAAGTTTCAGAGAAGATTTATGGTATTTTGGATATTCAAGAAAGCAATGAGGTCGGCCATTTCTCAATAACAAGTCATTAAAGATGTGACCTGCTCAAAGGGAAAGATGATTTCATATGCAAGATATTGCTCTTCCAACTATGATGTGCAATTGAGTAAAATGAGGTGATTTTAGGCCGACAGACATTGGTCCTCATGCAAGAAAAAAGTCATAAAAACAGATCTGTATCGTACAAGAGATTTAAGTCAAGAAGATTTGAGTCAATGTTCTCGTACTCTGAATTTTCTCCACTCATTTGTAGTGAATGAAACTGGAAGCCACGATGGCGTTTGTCCTGTTAGGAGACTTTGGTGAAGCCGACTTGTACGAGTAAACCTTTCAGTAAAAAGTAAGAGATTTAGGACAAGAATACAAAAATATTCTTGCATGCGCTTCAATAACTGGCAACAGAAGTACCCCAAGCTGCTTGTAGTCCTCTGCCGTGTTGCTGCCGGCCCATCGCCCCACCAGAGTCCACTAAATCAGAGGGGAAACCCGATTTTGACTGAAATCCCATTTATCCTCGTTAAGTCAAGTGGTTTCTAGGGCTAACCTGCAATCAAGAGTGTGGACACATGCCGTGAATCATTTATCGTGATGGGGAGGGAGTGAATACTATCTGGTACACAGGTGCTCAGTCAAAGAGGATCACATTTAACGAGATCTATTTATACCCTCTCACTGTGGATTAGGCCAAGAGAATGCCACACTGCTGCCCAATCAGGCCTCTTGTTGCTTTACCCTCTCCCTCCCCGTCCCGCCGGCCGTTTGCACCGCTTTAAACGCCTGTGGGAGAGAGCGGAGTGCCACTCGCGGGGACATTAAAACGACTGCTTCTGGATTACTTGCCAAAACAACCCTGCCACAGGTTACCTGGCCATGTCCGTCACGTTTGATGCCAGGCTGAGCTGTGGTGGAGGCACCTCTGTGGCCAGAAAGAGTGAGTGAGGAGGAGGGAGGCCAAAAGAAATAAAAACCATGTCGCTGTAGCAAAGCTTTAAAGGAAGGATAAAGAAGCCCTGGGCGATGATGATGGGGAGAAAGTAGGCCAGTGTTGTATGCTGTACTGCAGATGTGTGAGATTCCTGGAACGGATCCATAGGAGGGTTTACCCATCTCGCTTTATGCAAAACCCTCAACCTCGTCACACCATTGTGGAAATACACGTGAAATCTCCCACAAGCTACAAATAAAAGGTGTTTATCAAAGTTAGAGAAACTTTACATATCATTGGTTAAAGTATTTAATTTTACCTGAACATTCACTTCATTTCTACGCCGACCTAAATTACTGAAGCTCCTTTATTGTTACAAAAGTAATCCCAATCTGTCAAAAACGATTTCTTAGACTTCAGCTTGCTTACTTATTTTGGGTCCAGGAAGAGGCAAAAATAGATAAAAGCCTTTGATTCACAACACTGGGATACATCTCAGCATGTCTGATCCTGACCCACGGCAAACAAACAGAAAAAGCCATGATTCATCTTTTTTCACTTCTGTGAGTTTTGCTCTCTTGTCAGAGCTGTCAGGTGAGCTGACAAGGCAATGCCACATAAATCGCTGCTGACAAACCCGAATTCAAAGTCACTCATATGACACACGAGGCTATTAATAGTATTTAAAAAAAAAAACATGCTGCTTGGGTAAAAGCACTGACGACAGATTTTCTACATCTGAGGATGTACAGTAATTTAGTGCGCTGCATATTCAACTGTGTACCTGATGGTAATACGGCCAATAGGTCTGACATCTTGAGTCTACAGTTTACAGAGACTTGTTTCAATATCGTGAGCTTATATCAGAATAGTCTGATCATAACTAACAGGCCATGGGGGGGGGGGGGGGGAAGTAGTCCACAAGGAGGACAGTCATTCCATCCGATTTCATTTTAGGGAATAACTGGAAACCTTTAATGAAACTGTCCGTCTGCTGTGAACAGCTGTTAAACGTTAATCAATTATCACTTCAGCTTTAAAGTCAGCTCACAAACACACAGCAGAAAAACATGGCTGTGATCTCAGACTGGGATTTTTACAGCACGAGACTTTTCCAGATCCACTAAATCTGACAGCGGTTATCAAATAGGAAATATTATTCATGCACGATGTCGGAAAAAACAGCCAGTATTTCATGTTAAGCTGTTTTGCCGTATAAAATGGGTCAGGACGCGGATTAAAGATAAATATCAGTTATATCAGCTCCACCAAACCATACACAGAAAAACTGAGATCAAGTGGATTAGCTATGAACCAGTAGCTAAACACTCCGAATCACAGACACCAAAGAAACATTTTGAATTTAAAAAGTCAAAAGCATGGTATGAAGCATTCCCTCAGATGCAGTACTTTGTCCAAACAGCCACATTTCAAAGTGTGAGACAGAAAGTGCAACAACAACAATCAGTAGCGGAAATTTAAAAAAACAATCCGCGCTTCCACTTTCCAGCTCTTAAGTAACGGGGATGGCATACAGGGGAGTACACATCCTGTGCACGCAACATGAGACGGCCTAAACAATAAACTTTAAATTACCATTTGACTCACAAAGCAAATCACACACACACACACACACACACACACACACACACACACAATAGGCTAGAAGGCAACACCCAGCTTCTTATTCACGCTGGCCTCATGAAACAGCTCCGCTGACGTACTGTAAACACTATACCTGCAGTCACTCCTGTGGTAGGACAATACACTTTTTGCTCAGACGTAATCATTTCTGTATCCAACAAAGAAGCCCGTCTATAAAGCAACATACAATACTTCAAAGTGGTGTGAAGGTTTACCTCTTGGACCGGCGCAGACGGGCTCCACTGAAGAAATGTGGCATGTTAAAGTTGGACAGTACGGTCCACAGACTAGAATCAGACATCGTGTCCGAGTCATGCCAGAGAGAGAGGTGTAAAGGGGGCTTCTGAAGACCTAGCGAGGAGAAGCGACGGCTTTCGGGGTTCGGGGGGATGCGACCCCCGGAGCAGTCCTGACAAGTGCCCCTACAGCAGCTCTTCATGGGTCCAAACTTCCTCTGCACAGGCACATCTGCAAACAGCTGTGGCATAAACGCACCGGCAGAGAGGACGCCTTGTCCTCCTCTGTCCTCAAATGAAAGAGTAATCCAGGGAGGATCCTGAAAGGCACACAGAGCGTGTGTGTGTGTGTGTGTGTCTGTGTGATCCAGGTCAGGCGTCGACAGCCTCCACTGTTGCAGGGGAAACGACACCCAACACCGGCTGACTTTTTGTTTTCCCCGTCTCACTGCGACTGTGCTCCATATCCCTGCTCCCTTTGCTCAACATGCTTCATATCACGTAACAGGCATCTACCACTTCGCATCCTGTGCAGGGGGGGGTTGCGAGGCAGTGGAGGCGCTGCATCATCAGCAGACGCTGCCATGCACTTGCAGCTTTCGCAGACTGGCACCCCTCCAGACGTTCGGTGGGTCAGTGTATTCGGCAGGACCTATTTGAAATGGAAATGCTTCGCTTTTGCATGGATTTCATCTGCTGCTGCATAAATTATTCCCTCAGCCGTTCCCTGCACAGGCAGTCCCACTCCATCCATTTGATGGGTGCCTCACCACAACCTCATCACCTTTGATCCTCGACTCGTGCTTTCTGGTCGGCAGACGAGCAGCCAAACACAAACGGCTACTGAAATACAATGCAGATCTGAAGTTGAATCCTTGTTTATCCACTTATTGATGAACAAATTGCTTTCACTCAAACTGTGAAAAGTGACATTTCAGAGAAGGTTGGCGGAGCCGTACTCAAAGCTGGAGTTTTGTCAGTTCAGTGATGAATTTGACTTTGGAGTCCTGCATGTATGTGAGAGTTTAGAGTCAGCTGACCAAAGCGGCCTGTGGAGAGCAGACAGCATGACGACAAATTCTCTGAAGTAGCTGTCGGGGCTTTTTGCAAAATAATATTCCAAACGTCCATATGAACCATTACGAGCACAAATAAACAAACTTCAGGCAAAAGGCATCGATTACCTCGATCCAATGAGCGTTCCTCCACAGGAGAGAGCAAAGTTCAGCCCTGCAGACAGACACGTGGCTGTTCTGCAATAACAGAACTCAAGAGCTGCGATAAGAGCGCCGCCGTTAGTGTGTATGCGTGTGCGCGTGCAGAGTGTGAGGTTGCTGCAATCACATGATTGATGGAGTAAGGTATACATGTTACTTTCTCGATCCAGCTTCAAAACATTTATCAGGGCTTATCGGCCTCAACAGCAATAGAAATCGACCTCGTGAGCAAATAAAAACAAAGATAAATGCATTTCACATTAAAAGATCTGAAATAACCCGGTCTTAGGTTTAATATTTATTCATTTAAATGCCAAAAAACAACTGGTTCCATATTCTCGTGTGAATATTTTCTAGTTGTCTTTATCTCCTTTGTTCATAAACTGAATTGCTGAGTTGTGGACTGTTGGTGAGACAAAACAAGCTGTTAAAATATGTCAACTTAAAATTTATGAAACCAAGACAAACATATTTTCCTATTTTCTGACATTTTATGCACCAAAACCAAGCGGTTAACCGAATAATTGAGAGAGTAAGTGTCAGATAATGGTCAATAATTATCATTTCTTGAAGCGCTAGTCCCAAATAATTGTCTATACTTGACTCACTGGAGGTGCGTTTGTACAACATGTCTCTGCTACATTGCCTCATTGGCATGTCTAGCATGACAAATAACTGCCTCATTGGACAAAAGGAGGAACACGACCATGACCGGCACAACACCGTTGGTTCTACCAACGAGATAAAATGTTATCCGAAGCCATTTTGCCAGTATTAAGTCCCTGTGTGTGTGTGTGTGTGTGTGTGTGTGTGTGTGTGTGTGTGTGTGTGAGAGAGACTGTGAGTGGCTCAGTCCGGCTCCCCGCAGGCCACCGTGACAGCCTTCACTCTAATTATGGCTCTGCTCCGTTTCTGCGTTCTACATAAGAAACGACGGTTCGGATGGTTCAAAGTCAAACTTGCATGGAGCAGCATGAACAGGGAGGTCAGCGGCTGCACACACTTCACAAGCGGAACAATTTGGGTTTTCTGTAATCCAAAATTAAAATATACAAAAAACATTGACATTAGTTTTGCTCGACTAAGACATGAATTCACACAGTATGTGCAGTATGACATGTTTGCATACAGTGTTACTGTATTATCAGTCTGGAGAACTGTCAGAGCTGAAATATAATACAACGCTGCCGTAATGAAGCACAGGGAATAAAAGTAATTAGCACGAGCGGAAATCTGTCATCCTATAAAAGATCAGCATATTTTGTGAAATCACTTTCTTCTCTGATAAGCTGCTGATGCTGAGGGGTCCGACAGGAAAAGGCGGAGTCATCGAGCAAAAATGTTCAACCCAGGCTCAACTTTGCTGAACGCTTCTTGTGTTGGCCAATCAAAGACATGCAAGCACACGTGTGGTGGATTACTTTTTTTAAATGTTTAGCCTCACCATCGTCACAACGAACGACTTTAAAGTGAGGTTTTGGGTTTGAGTTTTGGGCGTCAGCTTTCAAACTCATGGATCTGTTACTCAAACTGAACTTACTTGATCATATTTCATGTCAACGGTACCTGAAGCAACAACCCCAAAGACGCTGTGATGTCAAAAAACTAAAGTCACATTAACTATGTCATGAAATTCTTCATCGAACAACCTTCCTCCCAAATGTAGATTAGGTTGTTGCAGAGTGCTGCTGTCAAACGGTCCTGTTGATGGTCCAACACTGTGGCATGTTAAAGGCTAATGTCCTCTATAGATTTAAGGTTTTTGAACATCTCCTCTCTGTACCTCGTGAATTGCTACATGATGGAATTAAAAACTGAAATTGTCAATAGATGAAAACATCTCCACATTCTTGTATGGAGCTGACTCACTTAAACGCTCTACTTCATTCTCTGAGAAAGCTGAGCAGAGGAAGAGAGGGTCAGAGGTCACATGGGTGGGTGTTTTCATGCTATTCATTGATACTGAAAATTCTTCAATATTGGGTGTTTTGAATGAGCTGGAGAGAAAAAAAAAATAATAAAAAATCCAAGTTTCATTCCAACTATTTGTCTTGACAAAATCTCGTCAGAAGCAGCTCGAATAAAACCAGCGGAGCTGCCAAAAAGTAGACTGTGAGTCTCTTCAGTCAAACGAGCTTTGCATTTCTTTTGATCCATTTGTCCAAAAAACCCCAGTAAAAACATAAACACCAGTTAAGCAACACAGAGCCCCAACAAGATGGCTTCAACCTTAATAACCTATTTGACAGTGAAACCCAAAATGAGGCTTTAGCATAAAAAACCAAACAAAGACACTCAGAAGAGGACGTGCTATCTCAGAAATCACTGATGAACACGAACCCTGTGGATTACAGTCATAAAAAGGGTAAAAGTCACAAAATAATCCGAAGATACCACACAGATTTTTAAATACTAATCATAAAATGGTGGAGATATGAGCAGTGAGCTTGCATAAGAAACCAGCTTTTAACCGGTTTCAGTAAATGAATCAATCCAGCCGGGATTCAGACAGATTGAGACCATTCTTCACTTTGATGTATTAAATCCTACTTAGCACATGAAAGAGGAGCATAAACCTCAGAACAGAGAGGAGCAAGATGGGGGAGGGGGGGGGAGACACTATTATTACATAAGCAGCGTCCTCTTTCAATGTCATTTCAATGGCACATGATTTTCGGGGGGTAAACGGAACATCCTCGTGATGGACGATGACTAGACCGACTATCAAACACGGCACCAACAGGCCTCTTTAGACACAACACAGGCTGAAGAGCTCTCGCTTACCTCCAGAAATGAAATGCGTGCAGCGGGCTGCACGGACTGCAGGGGCTAGTGGGAGTAGGGCTCAAGCTTCGGGGAGTCAGGCTGGAAGTTAAATGGAGTGTAGTGAATAGTTGTCTCTTATCACACACATGACAGAAACCCCCCCCCACCACCACCACACACACACACACACACACACACACACACACAGGTCTGTCACGTGCCCACATGAAGACAGCTGCATCATGAAGAGTAATGATCCCTGTCAGGTGAACCATAATTGTGTTTAATTAAAGAGCAGGTTCCCAAGGTGTTCTTCTGGTTCTTTTGTTTGACGTTGGGGATGCTTCAATTTAGACTAAAATCAAAGAAGACGTGCTCAAAAGCTACAGATTATGACGAGAGTTACAGATTAACCTAATTTCACACACTGTATAGTTGTGATAAGGTTCGACATATCTGAATCATACACAAAGACTTTCACTTCATTGCGTGACGTCATGGATCGAGCCCTTTTTTTTTAACTGAACAGTGGCACTGCAGAGCATGCGGTCACATAGAGGTGAGTAACTTTACTGCAGATGCAGTCCAAAACAGACTTCTTAAAGGATAAGTCTGGTGATGTTTCTCTTATTTTCAAGACATTCCCTGAAAAGACCGAACCAAACTATGACTGTATCCTACAAACGAGAATTTTATGTTATTTATATGTTATTCCTTTGAGCCATAGAGCTTCATTGTTGTCCAAACACTGTTTAAAAAAACCCATCAATGAGCCTCACTGTTGCACTGGGCGACATGTTCCTTCATTAAGATGAAGGAACACTGTAGTTTATTTTGAGTCAACTCCTCATGCATCATCTTGCAGCAGTAAATACTCAAGAAGAGAATCTGCTGGTGAAAATAATGCACAAATGCACGCTTTCCTCCTTTTTGAGTAATATTAAATTAGCCGGTTGTGTGCAGTCTTTCTGAAGAGTGAAAATATACAAAAATATGAAGATAAAGGTCTATGGTAGGAACCAATGGGCTCAGGGGTGAGAGCCACAGACAAGGAGGTCAGAAAGTATTGAGAGACGCACTCTCATGCTGTTGGTTTTGGTCTTTTCATGGGATTTGTTGACAATCATATATATATATATATATACATATACACATACATACATACAATCTGCATAAATAATGGGTTTTAAGCAAATTTAACATAGTCCCTGATCAATTTGTAGAGGGAACCATAAATACCTTGTTGACCTAAATA